AGCGAGCCCTGGGTTACACAGGCACAGCCGTGCTTGCTCAGGCTGCAGGGCTGGGTCGCAGCGCAGGTGAACACTACAGTGGTTGTGCACGGGTGGCCCAAGAAGGGAACAGGACAAGCACAGGCAGTGCCTTCCCCAAGTACTCACCCAGACCCCAGCTATTTTGGGGAGGTTCCCACACCTGATGTGGTTTGCCAGCTTGGTAGCCCTCAACAGATCTTGCTTCCAAGTTAGTTCTCCAGCCTCTCCTTAAGCTCACACAAACTTTCCATGGCATCCTTTGGCAGAGCTGCACAAATGCCTCCCTGATCCTTGATGAACCACTCCCAGCACCCTACCCTACCCTACCCTTCCTCCCTTTTCCCTTAGAAAGGCCCTGCCCAGGCCCTTAATTATATAATACCTGAGAGGTATTAGTGTGCAGGTTAACGAGGAGCCTCGTTACCCTCCTGTGACCACACAGCTGCTACCAGAGATGTCCCATCAGTCTTCTCTGCCACCGTTTGCTATAGGCAGAACAGGGCGAAGCAGCAGAGCTGCCTCCTCCTCGAGCCCGCCGACGGCAGCGCATGTGCCGCAGCCCTGCGTCTCCAAATCCCGCAGGCAGCGATGAAATCCCAGCCCCTGCCATGAGGACTGTGAAGCCATTTTAGTAAGATGAATGGTCCTGCTGGGGATTCGGCCTGTCCCTTCTAGGAATGCCCATTTCATAATCTTATCGGGGAAGCAATTAATAAATAACTTTAATGATGGCTCACAGAGATTCATTCCACTTAAACATCACCCTCCAAAAAACCACACTCATGAAAAGACGTTAATCTTTGCATGAGAACGTGCCAGTTCAGTTCAGCTACATCAATCTGCCTTTATACCCCATGGACCTGTTAGTCTGAGTCTGAGACAGCTGTTTAATACATTCATTTAAGAAAAGATAGAGACACTCCGCTGGCAGCGTCCTCGTGAATTACAGTGCCGCAGCTCCATCCCCCCGATCGACCCCGGTGCCTCCAGCGTCACCGCTGCCCACCAGCTCTCCCGTCCAGCGGCACAGGCACATCAGTGGGGTTTCTTTCTCTGGATTAGGTAATCCTAATCAATAGGATTACTGGTTTAAGATGAACGGTGTTTGAGCCATTAACTGGAGAAAATAAGCCAAGAGATGGCAAAGCACGAGTCATATGTTATATACAAGTTATATGGGAGAGAGATATATACACAAGTTTTATATCTCTCTCTCTAACTGTCTATCTATCCATCTATCTCTATTAATATATACAAGTTATATGGGGGAAGGAAAGCCATGGCTGAAGGTCAAACAACTTGCAGACATGAGAAATAAATAAAAGTCACTGCGCTGTCAAGTGGCTGCCACCCCTGGAAAGGCTCTGGTGTACGCGGTGCTGGAGAAAGAGCCCGCACAGAAAAACCTGTGCCCGCTTCTCACTGGGACCACAGAAAATTTTGGTATGGAAAAGCATCCGCCGGGCTGTCCTCTCCCTTGCACCCTCCTGCACACCAGCACACAGTGGGCTTTAAACCCCGGTACGGCCGGGTGGGCGCATGGCTTTGACCTGCAGGAAAGTGCTGAGCCCCAGCCAGAGCCGCCCGGGAGCTCCCAGGCAGTCAAGCCTTGGCACCACCGGGACGGAGCCTCCCACGACACCTCAACCTCCATTTCATTAGCTTTAGCCTTTGATAAGCTACATGCTATGTGCTGTGTAGGCTACAAGGGACTACATGTAATGTATATGCTAGCCGTACTGCTTCGTGCGTACTGGAAGGGGCAAGTTACTGCGAGGAGGGGTGGGGTGTAATGGCTGCTGGAAAACAGCCTGAAATTTGATTGTCTTTCAAATCAAGTCTTTCTCTGCCATCAGCTGAACGCTTCAAAAATAAAAAAAATAAACACCCAAAGAAGGAAGGAAGCAAGACCTTGCGCTTGGCTGCGTTATTAGTTTCTTAGCCCTGCCGCAGCATCAGGGGAAGGAGGTTTCTGCAGGCACCCGGCCGGCCGCGCTGGCCCGTCGAGCTGCAGCCGACAACCCGTGATTGCTCCGAAAGGGTTTCCAAAGTGTTTCCTCGCAAATGCATTCGGGCTTCTGAATAAAAGCCCAGATGCTGTTTATGCTGTTCTCTAGCATCTCGGTGCACTGTATTTTTTAAAAATGATTTGAATCAAAGCTCTCATTCTTTAATTAAACTTCATTTAGCTGCCATCTGCCTGGGATCAAAATGGCTTCATGTTTTGCAACTCTTAATAAGGATTGTTATTGGATTTGTAAACACATAAACAACAAAAAAAACCCCCACCAAAGTCTTTGAAAAGTAATAAATGAGGAACGTGGCTCAAGTGTTAAGATCTGCATCTTCACTTGTCTAATTGTAATAGAGCGGATCACATTCAGTGGCTAATCACGTTATACACAAAATCTGGGTATAAAAATACCCTGCAACTGCAGGATCGAGATTAGGGAAGCTCCGAGAATTACAGCTGAGGGAAAACAGTAATAAAGCGGTATCTGTCATTTTTCCACAGTGGGAAGGGTCAGCACTCCTGGGTCACGAGCAAATGCAGGCACCGAGGGCAGGAGTTTCCCACCCCAGCCACAGAAAACGAAAAGTGGATGTCATGGCCCTGAAACTCCCCAAAATAAAAGTTCGCTCCCAAAAATATACCTGTTACCAGAACCCAGCAGCCTCAAGACCCAACCTGGGGATACTGGAGGTGCCGGGCAGCCACGGAGCTTCCCGGCTGAGCAGACGGGGCAGGGCACGAGCTGCCCTTTGGTGAGCGGGCTTGGAGGCACAGGGAGCTCCAGTTAATGGATCAAGAAACTTAGGGAAGAAAACCCGAGCCCAGAGCTTTGGCTCAGCCCGTGCCGTAGCAGCACAGCCAGCCTTCCCCTGCCCCATCTTGCTAACCAGGCTCCGAGCCGGGGATGCCGGGTGGGGGAGAGGGAAGAGGCAGAGCAGGGAAACAGCCCTACGCTGCCTCCTTGCTCAGCTTCCATTCCCCCCGACACATTTACAGCCTTTACAATTGCATTCGGCTTTCTGAACGAAATCATTAGTCCCCAGCATAGCTCCCGTGCCCTAATTTAACTCCGCTGCCTGCATTCACCCCTGCCTTTCAGCAGCAGTAATTAGGGCCCCGTGCAGGGTGCAGCGCTCCAGACCTACACCCCGCGAGCAGCCTCCCCCCCGCCGCCGGCGCGTTCGTGGGATGCCGGGACCGGCAGCAGACCTGGGGCAGCCTCAAACATCTCCACTCATTACCGAAACGTGCTGCTGCCTTCGGTGCTACGGCATCAGACCTTTTTTTTTTTTAACGGCAAAAAAAAAAGAGAAGTCAAAATATAATGAGTGTGCCCTCTTAGGAGACACCTACTCGGTGGGGTTTGATCTGTGAATAAGACCCTTTCAGACATTTTGGAAGAGAAAATTGTATTTTTACCTCTGAATCATGTTTCTTTGTTTCCTAATTGGAGATGCCACAGGTTTGAGCACCAGGCAGAAACATGAAAGACTTCAGATTTTGATGCCAACCGCTCAGATGTCAAACTGTATTTCTAATTGGGGTCACTGATACAGATCTTTGCCCTTCTTTCGGCTGCCGTCTCCTTTGTGCCGTCTCCTACACTTGTTTGTGTTTTTATTACCTCATGTGATCATTTGCATCTAACTCCACAGCAAATGCAAGTCCAGAGCCAGGAAATAAAACTGCAGCTGCCTTGAAACACTTCTGCCTGCCATCAAAACCCGCCAGTGGCCTGAAAAGACCAGGATTCGAGCAGACCGAAATCCCATAAAACAAATAAAGCAGTGCATTACACTGGGAAAAGCTGTCACGAGCGACTTTGATCCTGCACCTACTACCGTCCGCCCTCCAGCAGACCACGGTCATTGCTCCGTGAAAAGGCTGTGACTCATCCTGCAGCCTGGAGGGACGCCCAGCAATGGTCACCCCACAGTGACACCGCGCGCTGCTGCTTGGGACGACATCAAAGCCACGAGCCCCAGGTCATCTCGCTTCACTGGTGGTTCGTGCTGGGCTGCGTTTACCTACACAGAAGCCGGGACGTTTCTTCTCGTTGGCTTCTTACGCCGCCCTCATGCCAGCATTGGCTCCCGCCCCGTCTCACCCGTGCACGGCTCTCAGCGGACACAAAGCACAAGTTAAATACGTGTGGTGGTCAGCAGTAGTGGTCGGCACCATTGGCTTCTGCTGCCAAACTCTACGAGTGGAATGAAAGTAAAATTGCAGGAATTTCAAATAACATCCCTCAATTTACTGGGCTGCTTTTGTACATGGGGCGAAGCGGCCCAGGGCGCACAGAGGAGCCCAGGGGCTCCCCCAGACGCTCGCAGCAATGCCACTTGCAGCTCGTGGTCCAGCCTTATGGAACAAGTGCAGCGTCAGCGGGATCAGCCTGTACTTACTGCAGGAGCTTCCCCACCCCGTAAGGCATCAAAGCCTCTTCGAAAATCACAAATAGTGAAGAACTTCACCGGATTGAGATCTTTTCCTGGTTCAGAAGCCAGTTAAACGCACGCAACCGAAATTGCTGCTGTGCCTTTCCAAGTCTGGGGCGGCAGGAGGCCAGACATGAGAGGGCTTGGGGGGGGGATCTCGCTCCTTGGGGGGCCTGAAACCTCCTTCCCGCTTAATCCAAACCCGCTTCTGCTCCAGAGCCGACAGGACTCGCAGGCACCGGTCTCTGATGCTCGTGAGGGCTGGTTCCCTCGTCTGTCACCACTGCAGTTTGGTACCACTCCTCCTGCAGCTCTGTAAGTAAATTTTTACGCCTTTGATCTAAATTGAAGACATCAGTGGCAAATGAAGCATTAAAACATGTCAAACCTCTTGGTTTCAAGCACTGGTGACACCAAGTATTTTATTGAGCAGCCAAAGCACGACAAGGTCTGTCTGGGGGTGCCCTCCTGCGCTTACTCTTACCTGTAAATACTATTATCAATAATATACGTAATAAAATAAGTACTTTTAAGAGCAAGGCAACACTTTTTATTTTTATTTAAAAAGGCCTTGATGGCAGGAATATAGTGTAAAAATCATTGGAAAAACTAAAAGGCATTGATACATATTGGAATATACACTTTTTACATAAATTACATTTATTTATTTATTCTTTCATTTGAGGTTCTTATTCGGTATTGAGGTCTAATAGTTAATAGGTCCTGGGATCTGGACGTTTAGACCACCATAGTCTAACATGTACATGTTCATGGGCCATTGCTGAAAGAGAGGGAGAGAAAAAGAAGGCAAAAGTCTCTGTTAGGACACAACACAAAACCATGCATCCGTCAAATCTCTGACATGTTCCGACACGGGCTGTTGCTCCCACTTTCCAAGTAAGATTAAAAAAACCAACCCCAAACCAAAACACCACCAGCAAACCTGACAAAAAACCCCTTCCAAGTTTATATTTCCCTTGCGCTTTTTTTTTTTATTTTATTTTTTAAAAGCATTTGGCATCGTCCACAACCGAAGCCAAGCCCTGAGGGAGAGCAGTTGGATGCATCTCCCTGATGTTCTTTCTTATTTTCACAGTTTAGGTGCACGCCGGAGCTCTGCATCGCTCCCGGGATGGAGCCGAAGCAACGGTCCCGGCGCAGCTCAGACCACGGGGGAACCGCCGGATCCTGCCGAGAGGTGCTACGGGGCCAAGGCGCCGCCGCCAGCACCCGTGTTTTAACCCAGTGGGGTCGGGGGATTTGCTCAGGCTGGTCTCGTGTGGCTCCCGCTAACACCATGCGCTGAGCATCCCCCCGAGGACTGATGCAGGAGAGCCCCAAGGGGCAGCGGGCGCTTTGCTCCGCTGACCCCCCCCCCTCCACCCCAGACAAACCCGGCAGGAAAAGGCAGCCCCAAAGCTGCGTCCCCTCCTTCGCCAAACCTGCTTGTGCCATTTTACGTCACACTTTATAGTGTTTGTCAGGCAGAGGGAGGTGGTGACGGTTCGGGGAGAGCAGAGAGCAGCACCCTGAAACAGAAAGATAGGTCGGCAGTAACCCCCCTAATATTTGGAAGGCTTTACCACAAGTGAGATCTGATTTGTTGATGATGTAGACTCCATATTGGAAGAGGAGGAAGAGGAAGAGGAGGAAGAGGAAGATACTGAGTTCCCTTCGGAGATCCTCTTCCGCTTCCGTTTGGGAACGCTGGTGTCTTTCTCTGCAGGAAGAGAGGGAAGGCATGAGGTGTCCAAGCTCTGTCCCCTAAATGCGGGGACCCATCCCGCTGCTCCGACCTTGCCTCCCACTGAGTGTTCCCCTGATGCGCTGTGCCACCGTTGGTGACACAGGCTTGGCCTCCACGACCTGGCACGGAGCTGCCAGCTTTCCTCAGGCACCGGTGAAGAAAATCCCCAAAATAAGCAAATCCCAACTCCAGCACTTACAGAGCCTGATATCGCACTGACTTGTGTCCGTGCTGGATGCCTTGGGGCCGTGAAGGTGCCAGCTCTGATGACGATATGCCCATATATATCTGCATATATGATATGCCCATATATATCTGCATATATAAAGTTTCTCGTGCATTTCTTTTTACATTACGTTGCAGCATGCTCTCGCTTGCCAGATCTCCCTTCTCTACCTAGCCACTTATTTTCATAAAACTAATATGATCCTAATTATCTCTGGGGCTGCTAATTCTGACACATTTGATTAAAACGGGCTGAGAGTTATTGGGGAGGATGGGACGGGGAGAGAAACGCATTCCCAGCCATCACAGAAACCTTGTTTCCTTAGAAGCTCAACGATGGCTCAAATTAAGGGCTTTAACCAGTGAACAAATTGTTTACGGTGAGTAAATTGCTAATGGGAAAGGGATAATCAAATCCTCCAGAATACGCTGCAAGTTTGAGTCTAACAGCCCAGTCTCTCCCCAGCTCACAGAAGCGCAATCATCTAAGTTGATGGTTTGCTCCGGCACAGATGCTGAGCCCGACTTCTTTTTCCAGGTAGTATCTTCTCCCCAGCCTCCCCTGGGGGTGCGGGATGTTCGAACACCTCCTCATGACCCCCATCCATTTTGCCCATATATTCTCTCTGCCACAGGGCCGGGAAAGCCGTGGTTATTTCTTAGCTCTCCGCTTACCTGTTTGTTTGGCCTCAGTGCAGATTTCGGCAAACGGCCTGCGAAAGAGACAAGCAGGGTCAGAGCAGGCGGACCCCGTCGTTTCTCCCCTGTGCGCCTGCCCATGCTGGGACACAGCCCAGACCCCGACCCTGAGCTGCCTCCTCCGACACCCTGCTGCGCGGGGATGGGGCATGGAGCCTCCCCACCGCTCCCCGGAGGGAAGCAACCCGAAATAACTCAGCTGGGTCTCTGAGCAGTCCTGCTATCAGTCGTGCCGTGCCCCTTCCCATCATCAGCATCTCAAACTGCCCAAGAAAGAGGGGAGAAACCGGCCCCGCTGACGCTTCGCTGTGCCCACCCGTGGCCGAGCACATCCCTGTGGCGCAGGACAGCGGCTGCTGGGGATGGAGCGGGTCCTCCGCGGGTGCGCGGTGGCGTGGCCCTGCTCCGGTGGCCCCGTGGTGACTTACCCCACTCCCGGCTGGAGAAGCAAAGGCAATGCTTAACGAACAGAAACCTTCCCCGGTCGCAGAGCTGAGGGAACTTACTGGAGCTGGTTTATAATCACCATCCGGATGCTCTCCCGTGCCTTCAGGATCTTCTCCAGCCGATGGATGTCATACGTATTGGGGTTTCTGAAAGGGATATCATCCGGCAGCCCAGTAACCTCCATGGCGTCAGGACTGTCCCTGATGAGTTTATAGGGCACCATGACGGGCCGGTTCAAGCCCAGAGCCTCTCCTGTAATGGCAGAGCAGAGGACAACGCACCGGCTTTACCGCACAAGGCTCCGGATCCAACCAACCGAAGGACCAAGAGCCCTGGGAGGACTTTGGGAAGCCACGGCTGCCGTGATGCCCGACCTTTGCTGCAGCCACATCCCACCCAGCCGTTTCACGCCTGCCTGCCCAATTTATTGCCTGCTCCATTAGTCTCCATTTAGGATCCTGCCAGGAGCCTCAGGTGAGGGCTGTTTTACAGCACCAGCACTTGCACGCCCACCTCTGCTACGTGCAGAGCACACCCATTGCCACGCTTGCGCCAGCCCGTGGCTGGGCCAGCAGCGGCAGCGTGGGAGACAGCCCAGGAGAGAGGGCAAACCGGAGAGATTTGTCCATCTCCTCTTGCCTCCGGCTGTCAGCAGGTTTGGGGGTCACCGGAGTGGAAATTGCATCCATCACTCATCATCATATCACATTGCTCCTGCCCATTTTTTGAATCACTTTATCTCTTTGGCTTCCACAATATCCTATGGCAGCGAAATACCACAATTTAATTCCTTGCTGCATTGCAGGTACTTCCTTCCGCGCAATTTAAACCTGCTGCCCACCTCTCTGGGTACCCCTTTGGTTCCTGCACGGTGGGGAGGAGCAAACATCCCCCTCCTGTACTGGTCCTGATTGTAAGAGCCTGATCTCACCTCACATCTCTGCAACCCCCAAACCTGGAGGTGTGAGCTGCCCCGCAGCCACATTCCTGGCTTTCCTTGCAGGGAGTTTGTCCCTGGAGCCCACCCAGCACCTTGTGCTCCATAAACCGTGCCTGGACCGTGAGAACGCAGGGATCTGCTGTGGGCTCAGCCCCCACATGGGCCAAGTGCTGCTGAGCTGGGGCGGATGGGGATGCTCAGAGCACGGGCACCAGCCTCCCTGGGGGGGTGCGCCTATACGCTGGCACCTCCAATGAGGGCAAATCCGCCCCCAAAGCAGCACACAGCCCATGCTGTGAGCGGCACCCCAAAATAAACAGGGTTTGCGGGAAGGGTGAGCAGCCTTGACATGGGGAGACTTGAGAAAGGAGGGGAATGACATTCCCCACGGCTTTGCTGTCATTCTATTTTCCTTCTCCTTCAGGCAATTATTTTGGGGAGAGAGGTGAGACACCGCACCAAACAGTGGGGTGCCACCGAGCCGCCGCGGCCCAGCTATGCAGCCCTGGGGTCTCTAGGGTTGAGAAATAACCGCCCAGCACTTACTTACACAAGTCATGCCCAAACGGGGACAGCCACAAGCAGTGGCAGCCCACACCCGTGGGGCTGAGAGGGTGACGCCGCTCGGGGCCGTGCATCCTGCGGCCGGCTCCTACGCTCCCCCCACCCGGCTGCTATTCCTACTGCGCCTTTTCCCAACGACGGGTGGAAGGAGGGGTTTGCTAGGCAGCACAAGGGGCCTGCAAACAGCATTTTCAAATCTTCTTCAGCCTCCTGACCTCCTTTTCCGCCGCAGCGCCAGCAAGCTTTTTCCCAGCCGTGCCTCATGTTGGGCTGCGGCTCCAGCCTTGCTCCCAGCCCGGCAGGCAGAGCAGGCAGGGGCTGCCTGCCAGCAGGCTGGCACAGGGCAGGCACGCTCTGCGCACAGACCACGGCTCACGCCGGCTCAGGACACGTTAAAAACACATCAAAGGCTGATGCCAGACTGAACAAATCCTGCTCCTCGGCTGTGTTTTCTTTCCGTCCTCCCTCCCCTTGCCGAGGAGGAGCTGTCAACAAGAAGGTCATGGTCCCACCTGCCAGGAGCGAGACAGAGGAACATCCGTAGGGATGGGCTGTAACGTGGAGCAGTGGGATGAAACCTGTGCTGCAGCAGGCTGCTGTGCGCTCGGCCTATAAATAGAGGCCTTCAGTCGAATTAATTTTAACTATGGCTGCTGTCAGCAAAAACAAACCTGCTTGGCGATGCGTGCAGCTGGGAGACTCACCGTATTTTTCATTGAAAAGCTCTTTCACTTGCTCTCGGAGAATCACCTTCTCTCCGAGCCTGTTGGCATCGTCCTCATCTGCAAAGCAAAAAATGGACAGGGAATAAAACACCCCATTTCTTTCTGAGCCCCTGGAAAATCCATCCCACTGTCACAGTGCACAACCGCGTCTCTGTCCCTCTGCCCCAGCACGGCGTGGGAACGGCTCAGAGGCGGCTGCTCTGCGCTTGCACCTTGCGTCACCTTTTAGAGCTGTGCAAAGTAGCTATAAAATGCTGCCAAATCTGCATTTGCCATGCGCTGCCAAGGCTGAGAGCATTTTACATCCACTTTGCGGTGCTGTAAATGACTGCAAAATATGCAAAGCAACGGAGACTCAGGCCCTCAGTGCCACGAATGCTCCCACAAGTGATATCAAGGAATGAGATAGCACTTTTATAGCTGGGCTCCTAAGTACAGTATTGTTTTATAATATGCCATATAATCAGCTTGGCTTTACTAGCTTTTTTAATTATCCTCATCGTGCCAAACAGTTTCTCTTCCGTTCTCTCATTTCAGACGACGTGCCTGTGTCAGTAGATTTTTTTCCCCCCAGATATTCAGCATCCTCAGGGGGCTCCAGGAAAAACAACTGTGGTCAGTACCGGCCCCCTTTGATGCTTTGTCACCCCGCGGGTATAAAGCACCGACTGAATGAACCTTATCTGCCTCTCACCGGGGCCACTCGTCCAGCCCCGAGCCAGCCAGAGTGCGCAGCGCAGGGCCGGCTCGGTGGGGTCTCTTCCCGGGGAGGAGGCATCACCACCATGAGCCTTGCTGCACCCAAGGCAGGCATCTTCACGCAGGCTGGCACGCCATGGGGTGGAAATCCAGGATGGTTATTTAAAACATCAAGGTGAGCGCTGCAAACCTCAGCATGAGAGACCCGAGCGTCCTCTGCCCCGGGTCTGCAGCTATTTAATTTGATTTTGAGCAATCACATGATTTTTGTTTCGGTTTTAAGCAATCACATGGCTTGCAATTTTGTTTTAAATGCAAGCTGAAAACCTGACGCAAGTCCCTGCCTCCCTGCAAGGGGCCCCAGAGCCCAGCACTCAAGCACCCCCAGCAGAAATCACACGCCTCGGGCCACCCTGCCGCTGAGGGTGCTGGAGAGAAGCTGGCACCCTTAAACCTCTGCACCCTACTGCTGCAGGCTACGGCCTCAAAAAACCTCTTCTCTACCTGGAAAACAATAGTTTTGTCTGGATATAACTAGGAAAAAAAAAAGGGAGACGTTTCTGTGAAGGAACCTCAGGGCCAAGTCATGCTTCAAATCCAGAAATGGCAACAAAGAAGCTTGAAAGGGATGGAGCAAAAAATAAATAAACTAGAAGAAAATCAAATAAATGTCGCCAAGGAGCTCTGATTTCAAGAACCAAGACCTTGCCGTGCAGTGCTACTCCCGAGGCCGCAGCAGGCCGGCGGGGGCAAACCCTGCGGGCTCCCTCTGTGACTTCCTTGTCATTGATGCTCAGTTTCTGGGCTGTATATACACACCCGTATGGATGTGTAGATGGTAGCAGACAAAGAAACACCAAAATTAAGTGTTCTCATGCGTTTAATTTTCTGGGACTGAAAAACGCAGCAGCTCTTTCCTTTCCGCTCACGCCCCGAGCGACCCGAGTGCAAGAAACAAGATCCCAAAGGGGTTTTTTTCCCGGCTTGTGGTGGGCAGGACTCCCAAATTCCCATCCAAGGACACAAACAAATGCCATAAAAAACCTGGAACTGAGCATGCATAACAGAGAAGCCAGAGAGGAGGCTCCGGCTGGCGGCGCCGCTTCCCGGGGACCTGCCCCTCCGTCCCCAGGCGGCTCCGGGCAAGAGGGATTTCTGTCTACCTTTGAATTTCAACGTTTGGGTTTGGGAAATAATCGACTCAAGGAAGCCACTGGCACCCCTGGGATCTGCTGAGTCCTTCCCATAAAGCAGGTTTAGGCACGCTGCTGGCTTCAGCTCTGTGTTATCAATTTATTTTTTTTTAATTAAAAAAAGTAGCCAGTTAATTGACTTTTTTTTTTCCCAATCCTACTTGCCTGAAGCGAAGAGCCCTGCACTCCATAGGCACTTACGTACAAGAAGTCACATTTTTAAAGCACCATTTGCTCTTTTCCAATAGGACTTGTCAGAACTCGACATCTCGACATCTCTTTTAGAAACTCATTTAGAAATATAACCGAGTCATATTTAGTAGTTATTAAAAATGGGGTTTAAGTGTCTGCTGTTGGACAACAGGATCCAAAACACCGCCTATTCTTCTAGTGACTTTAAAAAAACCCCAACAAAACCAAATCCAAGGTATCCCACCGATAAAGAACGGTTTTGTCTGGGCTCGTGATGCCATGTGCAGAGCCCTGATCTCGGCAGCGAAGCCGCGGCAGAGCCAGGCAGGGTACCCGGCAGAGCCTTCCTCCTCCCCGTGCCGCCGCCAGCATCCCGGGGTGCAGCTCCGGGCGATGCACGTCCTCCACCTGGCCACCGCGCTCAGAGTAACAACCTCCCATCACCCGAACCCCCCCGCGTGAAGCCTGTTTCATCAGGGAAACAGCCACTGCCCAACACATCCCACCGGGAAAGCGGCTCAGGTCCCTTCTTCAGGCGATCCCAGTCGTGCCAAAGAAGCACCCAGCCGGGGTAGGCTGCTTACAGCGGTCAGGATCTGGCCCTGAATCTTAAGAGGATAAATACACGCCTCTTTCTCCCCTTCCAGCTTCAATGGGTACAATTCAGTTACACCCCTGTGTAAATCCAGAACAAACCCGCTGACTTTACTGAGGCTATGCCACAGTAACTCAGGTTTAAATACAGTTCGAATTAGCTCAACAGATGCGGGTTTTCAAAGCGGAGCTATAAACTTGTGGGAGCAGGCAATTAACATCTAGACACGCGGCCAGAATCCCAGCTGATGGGACTAAGGCTGGATCTGCTGGAGACACGCCGTGCCCTGCCGCAGATACAGGCAGGCGAGCTCTTCTTTACTCCTGTAAATTAGTATGTATGTTAAATCCCCGGAGCCTACGCGACTGCACACCGGCTCTGACCCACAGTATGTGTTAAAGCAAAGCAAAAAACCCCAACCCAAATCTGTGCAAGAGCTCCTTATGAATGGCAAGTGGATTTTTTTTTAACAAATTAATTGCTCGGACACGTGGATGAGCTGAGGATAACGTGGCAGGTCGGTTTGTCTGGAGTAGAACCGGCACCGATGCCCAGGGACTGCAGCAACGGTGCTTAGAAATGCAGAGAGGATTAATAACAACAATAAAACACTGTTAAACACATCCTGCATCATTCAGTTCTTGGTATCACAGGGAAACAGAGCAGAGAGGGAAAAAAAAATACCTGAAATTTGGGGGTTTAAGACATTTTCATTCTTATATTAAAACGCAAGTGCATTTCTTGTCTGCTACCATCTACGATGCATCAACTGAGCTACGTACCATTCAAGGCAGCGTAGGCTTTTTCCAATGATGTTATCCGTCTAGGGGCTACAAAGCAAGTTAAAAGACAAAAAAAAAAAAAAAAAAAAAGAGAGAGAAAGAAAAAGAGAGCCATGAGTGCTGCAGCTTGGTTTCTTGGTCACAAACAAAAGCAAAACCCAGGATGACACTGTCCCTAGCAACTTAAAACTCCTCCGGTCCCAAGGCCCCTTGGCACAGAGATGCTTTCGGTAGCTAAATAACTGCCCGGTGAGCTGGGCAGGGGGGCTGGGCTCTCCACCCTGCACCAGGGACCCGTTTCGGGATGTGCTTGAGCCCGCGAGCATCCCCCGAGCTCCGCCGCACTCCTGAGCAGCCCGAGGTCCACATGTGCCCAGGGACGCGTGGTCGAATTGCAGCATTTACGGCACGTGCCAAAGCAGCAGCAGCTGTGCTGCATGCCCGCGCCGGAGGAGGAAAAAAAAAATTTGAGGTTAAAGCAGATGAAAAGCAAACAGGGAAACTGTGTCAGTTCTGCAGC